TCGCTCAGTCGTGTCCGACTCTGCGACCCCATGGACTGCAGCATGCCAGGCCTCCCTGTCCATCACCAACTCCCGGAGTCTACACAAACCCATGTCCATCGAGTCGGTGATGCCATCCGGCCATCTCATCCTCTGTCGTCTCCTCCTCCTCCCGCCTTCAATCTTTCCCAGCATCAGAGTCTTTTCCAGTGAGTCAACTCTTCACATCAGGTGGCCAAAGTATTGGAGTTTCAGCTTCAGCATCAGTCCTTCCCATGAATATTCAGGACTGATTTCCTTTCAGATGGACTGGTTGGATCTCCTTGCAGTCCAAGGGACTCTCAAGAGTCTTCTCCAACACCACAGTTCAAAACCATCAATTCTTTGGCGCTCAGCTTTCTTTATAGTCCAACTCTCACATCCATACATGACTACTGGAAAAACCATAGCCTTGACTAGATGGACCTTTGTTGGCAAAGTGATGTCTCTGCTTTTTAATATGCTGTCTAGGTTGGTCATAACTTTTCTTCCCAGGAGCAAGAATCTTTTAATTTCATGGCTGCAGTCACCATCTGCACTGATTTTGGAGCTCCCCAAAATAAAGTCTGTCACTGTTTCCATTGTTTCCCCATCTATTTGCCAGGAGGTGATGGGACCAGATGCCATGATCTTAGTTTTCTGAATGTTGAATTTTAAGCCAACTTTTTCACTCTCCTCTTTCACTTTCATCAAGAGGCTTGTTAGTTCTTCCTCACTTTCGGCCGTAAGGGTGGTATCATCTGCATATCTGAGGTTATTGATCTTTCTCCAAGCAATCTTGATTCCAGCTTGTGCTTGTTCCAGCCCAGCATTTCTCATGATGTACTCTGCATATCAGTTAAATAAGCAGGGTGACAACATACAGCCTTGATGTACTCCTTTTCCTATTTGGAACCAGTCTGTTGTTCCATGTCCAGTTCTAACTGTTGCTTCCTGACCTGCATACAGATTTCTCAGGAGGCAGGTCAGGTGGTCTGGTATTTCCATCTCTCTAAGGATTTTCCACAATTTGTTGTGATCCACACAATCAAAGACTTTGGCATAATCAATAAAGCAGAAGTAGATGTTTTTCTGGAACTCTCTTGCTTTTTCAATGATCCAACGCATGTTGGCAATTTGATCTCTGGTTCCTCTGCCTTTTCTTAATCCAGCTTGAACATCTGGAAGTTCACAGTTCACCTAACATTGAAGCCTCACTTGGAGAATTTTGAGCATTACTTTGCTTGTGTGTGAGATAAATGCAATTGTGTGGTAGTTTGAGATTCTTTGGCATTGCCTTTCTTTGGGATTGGAGTGAAAACTGACCTTCTCCAATCCCATGGCCTCTGCTGAGTTTTCCAAATTTGTTGGCATATTGAGTGCAGCACTTTTAAAGCATCATCTTTTAGGATTTGGAAAAACTCAGCTGGAAATCCATCACCTCCACTAGCTTTGTTCATAGTGATGATTCCTAAGGCTCATTTGACTTTGCATTCCAGGATGTCTGGCTCTAGATGAGTGATCACACCGTCGTGGTTATCTGTGTCATGAAGATCTTCTTTGTATAGTTCTTCTATGTATTCTTGCCACCTCTTCTTAATATCTTCTGCTTCTGTTAGGTCCATACCATTTCTGTCCTTTATTGTGCCCATCTTTGCATGAAATGTTCCCTTGGTACCTCTAATTTTCTTGAAGAGATCTCCAGTCTTTCCCACTTTATTGTTTTCCTCTATTTCTTTGCATTGATCACTGAGGAAGGCTGTCTTATCTCTCTTTGCTATACTTTCAAACTCTGCATTCAAATGGGTATATCCTTCCTTTTCTCCTTTGCCTTTTGCTTCTCTTCTTTTCATAGCTACTTGTAAGGCCTCCCCAGAGAACCGTTTTTCCTTTTTGCATTTCTTTTTCTTGGGAATGGTCTTGATCACTGCCTTCTGTACAATGTCACGAACCTCCATCCATAGTTCTTCAGGGACTCTGTCTATTAGATCTAATCCCTTGAGTCTATTTGTCATTTCCACTCTATAATTGTAAAGGATTTGATTTAGGTCATGCCTGAATGGTCTAGTGGTTTTCCCTACTTTCTTCAATTTAAGTCTGAATTTGGCAATAAAGAGTTCATGATCTGAGCCATAGTCAGCTCCCAGTCTTATATTTGCTGGCTGTATATAGCTTCTCCATCTTTGACTGCAAAGAATATAGTCAATCTGATTTCGGCATTGACCATCTGGTGATGTCCATGTGTAGAGTCTTCTCTTGTGTTGTTGGAAGAGGGTGTTTGCTATGACAAGTGTGTTCTCTTGGCAAAACTCTGTTAGTTTTTGACCTTTGTTTTGTACTCCAAGGCCAAATTTGCCTGTTACTCCGGGTGTTTCTTGACTTCCCACTTTGCATTCCAGTCCCCTATAATGAAAGGGATATCTTTTTTGGGTGTTAGTTCTAGAGGGTCTTGTAGGCCTTCATAGAACCGTTCAACTTCAGCTTCTTCAGCATTACCGGTCCAGGCATAGACTTGGATTACCGTGATATTGAATGGCTTGCCTTGGAAATGAACAGAGATCATTTTGTCGTTTTTGAGAGTGCATCCAAGTACTGCATTTCGAACTCCTTGTTGACCATGATGGCTACTCCATTTCTTCTGAAGGATTCTTGCCCACAGGAGTAGATATAATGGTCATCTGAGTTAAATTCACCCATTCCAGTCGATCTTAGTTCACTGAGTCCTAGAATGTTGATGTTCACTCTTGCCATCTCATGTTTGATCACTTTCAATTTGCTTTGATCATGGACCTAACATTCCAGGTTCCTAGGCAGGAACCTTATCAGACTTCACTTCCTTCACCAGTCATATCCACAACTGGGTGTTGTTTTTGCTTTGGCTCCATCCCTTCATTCCTCATGGAGCTATTTCTCCACTGATCTCCAGTAGCATATTGGGCACCTACTGACCTGGGGAGTTCATCTTTCAGTGTCCTATCTTTTTGCCTTTTCATACAGTTCATGGCATTCTCATGGCAAGAATACGGAAGTGGTTTGCCATTCCCTTCTCCAGTGGACCATGTTTTGTCAGAAGTCTACACCATGGCCCATCTTTCTTGGGTGGCCCTACATGGCATGGCTCACAGTTTCACTGAGTTAGACAAGGCTGTGGTCCATGTGATCAGTTTGGTTAGTTTTCTGTGACTGTGGTTTGCATTCTGTCTGCCCTCTGATGGAGGAGGATAAGAGGGTCATGGAAGCTTCTTGATGGGGGAGACTGACTGAGGGGGAAACTGGGTCTTGTTCTGATGGGCGGGGCCATGCTCAGCAAATCTTAAATCCAATTTTCTGTTGATGGTTGGGGCTGTTTCCCTCCCTGTTATTTACCTGGGGCCAAACTATGGTGGAGGTAATGAGGATAATGGCGACCTCCTTCAAAAGGTTCCACACATGCACTGCTGTACTCAGCGTCCCCAACTCTGCAGCAGGCCACTGCCAACCCACACCTCCACTGGAGACTCCTGGACACTCACGGGAAAGTCTGGGTCAGTCTCCTGTGGGGTCACTGCTCCTTTCTCCTGGGTCCTGGTGCACAAGGTTCTGTCTGTGCCCTCCCAGAGTCTGTTTCCCAGTCCTGTGTGAGCTCTGGCGGCTCTGTGGTGGGGTTAGGGTGACCTCCTGAAAGAGGGCTCATGGCACACCCAGGTCTGCTGCACCCAGTGCCCCTGCCCCTGCAGCAGGCCGCTGCTGACCCGGAACTCTGTAGGAGATGCTCAGACACAGTTCTGGCTCCGTCTCTGTGGGGTCTCTGGGTCCTGGTGCACACAAGGTTTGTTTGAGCCTTCCGAGGATCTCTGGCGGGATGGGGTTTGATTCTAAATGCGATTTTGCCCCTCCTACCGTCTTGCTGGGGCTTCTCCTTTGCCCTTGGAAGTGGGGTATCTTTTTTTGGTGTGATCCAGCCTTCTCCTGTGGACGGTTGTGCGGCAGCGAGCTGTAATTTTGGAGTTCTCGCAGGAGACGATGAGCGCACGTCCTTCTGCTCCACCATCTTGGGGAAGGAAGATGGCGAGTTCTGAGAAAGCACTGGAGAAGGGAAAGGCGCCCACGCCAGCATTCTTGCCTTGAGAACCCGAGGAACAGCATGAAAGGCCGTAACACAGCGGTGCTGTTGTTTTAGTTGCTGGTTGTGTCCGATTCCTGTGTCCATCTCTCCATGTGGACTGAGGCCCGCCAGGCTCCTCTGTCCATGGGCTTCTCCAGGCAAGAACACTGGAGTGGGTGCCATTCCCTCCCCCAGGGGAGCTTCCGGACCCGGAGACTGAACCTGCATTTCCTGTACCTGAGGGCCACGCTTTACCGCTGAGCCTCTCGGGAAGCCCTGAAGCAACACGCGCACTCCTGAAAGCCGGCACTCTGCAGCCCCGCGGAGCGGGAGCCGTCGGGCTCAGGAGAGACTTGAGCAGGGCACAGAGCTAGGACCTGCGCTGCTGACACCCAGGAAGCGCCATCCGCGATGCACACAGCGTGTAACAAACATGTTACGTGCTTCTTGGCCCTTCAGCCTCAGCCTCAGGGGAAGGTCCCGACAGGGTGCTTCCTGCAAAGGCTAAATGTGGTACCTTCTTTTATCTCTGTTAGCCTCATGGAAACCCCGCCTCTGTTGTTACTTGGATTAATGTTTAGCAATATTTGGTAGGTATATATAGACATTTATGGTTTTTACCTTTTTTTTGAATTTTCTAATGGATATGACAAAGGATAGGATGGTGAGTGGGATAATTTATGGAGAAATTCAAGGAGTTTAGAATCATAGGATTTTCGCAGCTTAGAACACAAGTGGATAACAGATAAAGGACCTACTGAAAATAACCACTGTGTGTGCGTGTGTCACAAGGTTTACGTACCAGTGGGATCTTCAGCTTTTTCCACAATAGAGCTCCCTCAGGGCTTGGGACTGACCTGGCAGTTTGGAGGAAAGAAATAAAAGCATGCTCTTTGTACTTCCCTCTTCCCTGCCATAGCTACGTCCCGTGGAACCTCCATGAGCCGCAGAGAGGCACATTCGACTTCTCCAGGAACTTGGACTTGGAGTAGGTTCTGTGACCCGGCCGGGCGGGGCCGGGGGCCTGAGGCGCGGGGACCCACGAGGCATCCTGAGCAGAGGGGTCCGCGGGGGGAGCCTGTGCCGGGCCCCACGCCCTCCGTCGTGACTCCGCCACCCCCCGGCCGGGCCTGCCCCCCTGAGCCCGGCCCGAGGCCCCTCCCCAGGTGCCCGGCTCTGCAGGGTGGTCCCCGCTGGGCTGGGGGCCTAGGACTCCATGCCCCGGGCGAGGCTCTTTCTTCTCCTCGTGCCCCAGAGAGGCCGCGCTGATGTCCCAGGCTGGGGGCTCGGTGGTGACTCCGGGGGGGTATCCTGCCCTCAGCGTCCCCAGCCCCCTGGGGAGGGCCGGGCCAGTGAGGGGAGGGGACGCTGAGCCCCGAGCCCTGAGAGTGGGTGACCCCGACCCCCAGGGCCTTCATCCTGCTGGCGGAGGAGGTGGGGCTGTGGGTGATCCTGCGTCTAGGCCCCTACATCTGCAGCGAGATGGACCTCGGGGGCCTGCCCAGGTGAGCGGGGCCGGCCTGGAGCTGTGGCCTTAGTGGAGCTCTGCTGACCCTTTGGTCCAGTCCGAGGACAATGGCGCCTGTTTTGGGTCTCATTGTCGTCACAGCAACGCGGGTGGTGATGCTCTTTTGTTATCCCTGGAGCTGGCGGGATCCTCGTGGGTCCACGCTTCCCCTGGTGGACAGTCTGCCTCCTGGTCAGTGGAGGCTTTGCCCTCTGGGACAGGTGGGTCTGCAGTCTGGCTCAGGAGTGGGACCCACGCCCTGCAGGTGACCTGGGGCCACTTCGTTCCTGCGGTCGGCTCCTCTCTGTCAGACTCCTCAGCCTCAGAGGAGAGCTCGCTCTGTCCCTAAGCCTGTGCTCTGCTCACAGCACAGGCTTTTCATGAATTGACAAAGAAGGCAGGAGAGTGTTCACAGATGCTCACAACGCCTGTCCTTAGGACATGGGCGTGTGGCCCCTCCTGAATGGGCCCTGGACGTGAGGGTGGACCTGGGACCCCCTCCTGCCTGCTGAGCCTGCCCCCCCACACCTCAGCTGGTTACTGCAGGACCCCACGTCGCAGCTGAGGACCACCAACCGCAGCTTCGTGAACGCCGTGAACAAGTACTTCGACCATCTGATTCCCAGGGTGGCTCCGCTCCAGGTGAAGACAGATGGCTGCGCCCCGTGATCCTCTGCTGCAGGACCACGGCTGTCCCGGCTAGTGTCCGCAGAGAAGGGAGCTGACAACCCGCAGCGGGAACTCCAGACTCCCGCCCTGCCGTGCCCTTTCTAGGGCTTCGGCGGGGGGGGGGGGGCGGTGGCGTGCCAGTGTCCCGCCTTGTGTTCACAGAACTGCCCACGAGGGCAGGAACTCCAGACCCCCGCCCCGCAGCGCCTTTTCTAGGGCTTCTAGGCAGGGGGCGAGCCAGCGTCCCGGCTCCAGCTCAGGAGTTGAGCACATGCCCCTCATAGGGGTGGCTGGGGGTCGCCCGGCAGAGTTGCAGGGCTGGAGCGGGGCAGCCGCCACTCTGCCCGCGGTGGGCTGGGCTTCAGGGAGCAGAGGCTCAGAGTGGACGGCAGTGAGATCACCTTCAACCTTGAAGACGGTGTGCTCGCACATCCCGGCCCCGTCGATGGCTCAGCAGCCGACTGGGAGCTCTGAGGAGTGGGTGCAAGGGAGAAACAGACTGCCGAGAGGGCGGCCGGGCCGCTCAGGGGCTGGGGCCCCTGGCCTGGGGGAGCGGGGCTTGCTGGTGGAGCCACTGCCCCCTCCGGCTCTCTCCGGGTGGTTTCCATGGTGATGGGAGTCAGAGAGTCTGGCGGGGGAGGATGGGGCGCAGGAGGGGAGGGGCCAGCGCGGAGCCCCGCCCCCCGAGCAGGTGGACCACGGAGGCGACCCCCAAGACAGGGGACGCCGGCGGGCCGCGGTTTAGGGCTGGTGACTGAGCGGCTCCCGGACCGGGCTCGGGGGGCTCACCAGCCGGCCTGCCGTCCCGTCCTAGTACCACAGGGGAGGCCCCATCATCGCGGTGCAGGTGGAGAACGAGTACGGCTCCTTCTACAAGGACACGGCCTACATGCCCTACCTGCTGCAGGTGAGCCGTCTGCCGTCCCCCGGTCCGGGCGACCACCGTCCGGGCCCCGGGGCCGCGGTCCAGCGTCTGTGTGAATCCGCACGTGTGTGACTGCACGCGGTCAGGGAGGCCGGGGAGGCCGGGGCGGCACTGGCGTGGGGTGAATGTGCGGCTCTTTGCCCGCCGTCTCTGGCTCACGGTTCCCGTCGGAGCCGGGGGCGGGGGGGAGGGGGGAGCGTTGGGGGGCACCCTGTCTTTCGCCGTCTTTGCCGTCTAGGGGGCATCTCAGGTCGGGGCTCACCCGCGGTCCTGGTGCTCTTCCCCGGGGTGAGGCCCCGGGCCCCCAGCCTGCAGGAAGCAACCAGGGCGTGAGTGGAAGGCGGGGTTCCCACGTGTCTTGCCCACCTCAGGCATGTGCAGTGGGGGAGCCCCTGCAGCCGATGTCGCCCCCGGCCCCCCACTTCCGTCTCATTCAGTGAGATTCTGATTCCTGGATCTGTAGACTGTGCTGGTCGACTCGCTGTGGGCCCCAGGCTGGCTCAGTGAGCCCAGGACGCACAGACGGGGTCCTCGGCCGGGGTGTCTGTCTGCTCCGTGTTCCCTGAGTGCGCGTGGTTTCCAGATGGGACCCCCCGCCCCACCTCCCCGGGAGGGTGGGCGTCCCTCAGTCCAGACAGGACCCAGGTTTGCGACTCTCACCTCTCTCGGGCCCCACAGCCCCGCCCTTCCCAAGGCTCCCCTGTCCCTCTGTCAGTCTACCTGGGTCTGCACGTCTAGTGATCGCTCACTTCCTGTCTGCCCCTCCCACTGTCAGCCACCTGTCCATCATCTGTCTGTGTGTCTGTCGTCTTTCTACCTGTATGTCAGTTATCTATAAATCTATCACTTACCTCTTATCTATCTACCTGTATATCATCTGTCTATACATCTATCATTTATCTATTATCTATCAGTCCATCTGTGTATCTCTCATCCATGTATCTATCTCTCCACATCTCTCTGATTCTCCCCAGAGGTAGGAACCCCCATTCCCTGGTGGACTCAGCTCTGACCTCTTCATTTGAGCCACAGCTACAGGGTAGCCGGGCTCACCCCCTCCATGTGCCCACCCCTGGGAAGACCGCAGACTGGCCAGAGCACCCAGGCCCCAGCTGCGGGGACGTCCTGGGCAGAATGTTGACGCGGGTCTTCCTGTCTAGCACCCATGCTGTTGTCTGAGCCCTAGCATATTTGTCTCCTACTTTCCTTGTATTTCCCTCTTTCAAGGAAAACAAGGGGGTGAGTTCATCCTGTCCAACTCTCTCCACAGGCCCTGCTGCAGAGGGGCATTGGAGGGCTGCTCCTGACCGCAGACAGCACAGAGGAAGTGACGAGAGGACACACAGAGGGAGGTAGGAACTCAGACTTGTTTTAGGGGAGAGGGTAGGCTGCGGCAGGACCTCTGACTCCTGGAGGGGCCTCAGCAGGGCCAAGCGCACACCACACCTGACCCCAAGGGCCCGGACGTCGGGCCGCGGGTGATGTCCCCTGGTGAGGACTCGGGGTCAGGGGTGGACCCGGGCGTGATGTCCCCTGGAGAGGACTCGGGGTCAGGGGTGGACCCGGGTGTGATGTCCCCTGGTGAGGACTCGGGGTCAGGGGTGGACCCGGGCGTGATGTCATCTGGAGAGGGCTCGGGGTCAGGGGTGGACCCGGGCGTGATGTCCCCTGGTGAGGACTCGGGGTCAGGGGTGGACCCGGGGGTGATGTCCCCTGGTGAGGACTCGGGGTCAGGGGTGGACCCGGGCGTGATGTCCCCTGGAGAGGACTCAGGGTCAGGGGTGGACCCGGGTGTGATGTCATCTGGAGAGGGCTCGGGGTCAGGGGTGGACCCGGGCGTGATGTCCCCTGGTGAGGACTCGGGGTCAGGGGTGGACCCGGGCGTGATGTCATCTGGAGAGGGCTCGGGGTCAGGGGTGGACCCGGGCGTGATGTCCCCTGGTGAGGACTCGAGGTCAGGGGTGGACCCGGGGGTGATGTCCCCTGGTGAGGACTCGGGGTCAGGGGTGGACCCGGGGGTGATGTCCCCTGGTGAGGACTCGGGGTCAGGGGTGGACCCGGGGGTGATGTCCCCTGGTGAGGACTCGGGGTCAGGGGTGGACCCGGGGGTGATGTCCCCTGGTGAGGACTCAGGGTCAGGGGTGGACCCGGGGGTGATGTCCCCTGGAGAGGACTCAGGGTCAGGGGTGGACCCGGGGGTGATGTCCCCTGGTGAGGACTCGGGGTCAGGGGTGGACCCGGGTGTGATGTCATCTGGAGAGGGCTCGGGGTCAGGGGTGGACCCGGGGGTGATGTCCCCTGGTGAGGACTCGGGGTCAGGGGTGGACCCGGGCGTGATGTCATCTGGAGAGGGCTCGGGGTCAGGGGTGGACCCGGGCGTGATGTCATCTGGAGAGGGCTCGGGGTCAGGGGTGGACCCGGGTGTGATGTCATCTGGAGAGGGCTCGGGGTCAGGGGTGGACCCGGGCGTGATGTCCTCTGGTGAGGACTCGGGGTCAGGGGTGGACCCGGGCGTGATGTCCCCTGGTGAGGACTCGGGGTCAGGGGTGGACCCGGGTGTGATGTCATCTGGAGAGGGCTCGGGGTCAGGGGTGGACCCGGGCGTGATGTCCCCTGGTGAGGACTCGGGGTCAGGGGTGGACCCGGGCGTGATGTCATCTGGAGAGGGCTCGGGGTCAGGGGTGGACCCGGGCGTGATGTCCCCTGGTGAGGACTCGGGGTCAGGGGTGGACCCGGGGGTGATGTCCCCTGGTGAGGACTCGGGGTCAGGGGTGGACCCGGGGGTGATGTCCCCTGGAGAGGACTCGGGGTCAGGGGTGGACCCGGGGGTGATGTCCCCTGGTGAGGACTCGGGGTCAGGGGTGGACCCGGGCGTGATGTCATCTGGAGAGGGCTCGGGGTCAGGGGTGGACCCGGGCGTGATGTCATCTGGAGAGGGCTCGGGGTCAGGGGTGGACCCGGGCGTGATGTCATCTGGAGAGGGCTCGGGGTCAGGGGTGGACCCGGGCGTGATGTCCCCTGGTGAGGACTCAGGGTCAGGGGTGGACCCGGGCGTGATGTCATCTGGAGAGGGCTCGGGGTCAGGGGTGGACCCGGGCGTGATGTCATCTGGAGAGGGCTCGGGGTCAGGGGTGGACCCGGGTGTGATGTCATCTGGAGAGGGCTCGGGGTCAGGGGTGGACCCGGGTGTGATGTCATCTGGAGAGGGCTCGGGGTCAGGGGTGGACCCGGGCGTGATGTCCTCTGGTGAGGACTCGGGGTCAGGGGTGGACCCGGGCGTGATGTCCCCTGGTGAGGACTCGGGGTCAGGGGTGGACCCGGGTGTGATGTCATCTGGAGAGGGCTCGGGGTCAGGGGTGGACCCGGGCGTGATGTCCCCTGGTGAGGACTCGGGGTCAGGGGTGGACCCGGGCGTGATGTCATCTGGAGAGGGCTCGGGGTCAGGGGTGGACCCGGGCGTGATGTCCCCTGGTGAGGACTCGGGGTCAGGGGTGGACCCGGGGGTGATGTCCCCTGGTGAGGACTCGGGGTCAGGGGTGGACCCGGGGTTGATGTCCCCTGGTGAGGACTCAGGGTCAGGGGTGGACCCGGGGGTGATGTCCCCTGGAGAGGACTCAGGGTCAGGGGTGGACCCGGGCGTGATGTCCCCTGGTGAGGACTCAGGGTCAGGGGTGGACCCGGGTGTGATGTCATCTGGAGAGGGCTCGGGGTCAGGGGTGGACCCGGGGGTGATGTCCCCTGGTGAGGACTCGGGGTCAGGGGTGGACCCGGGCGTGATGTCCCCTGGAGAGGACTCAGGGTCAGGGGTGGACCCGGGTGTGATATCCCCTGGTGAGGACTCGGGGTCAGGGGTGGACCCGGGGGTGATGTCCCCTGGAGAGGACTCAGGGTCAGGGGTGGACCCGGGCGTGATGTCATCTGGAGAGGGCTCGGGGTCAGGGGTGGACCCGGGCGTGATGTCATCTGGAGAGGGCTCGGGGTCAGGGGTGGACCCGGGCGTGATGTCATCTGGAGAGGGCTCGGGGTCAGGGGTGGACCCGGGCGTGATGTCCCCTGGTGAGGACTCGGGGTCAGAGGTGGACCCGGGGGTGATGTCCCCTGGTGAGGACTCGGGGTCAGGGGTGGACCCGGGGGTGATGTCCCCTGGTGAGGACTCAGGGTCAGGGGTGGACCCGGGGGTGATGTCCCCTGGAGAGGACTCAGGGTCAGGGGTGGACCCGGGTGTGATGTCATCTGGAGAGGGCTCGGGGTCAGGGGTGGACCCGGGCGTGATGTCCCCTGGTGAGGACTCGGGGTCAGGGGTGGACCCGGGCGTGATGTCATCTGGAGAGGGCTCGGGGTCAGGGGTGGACCCGGGCGTGATGTCCCCTGGTGAGGACTCGGGGTCAGGGGTGGACCCGGGGGTGATGTCCCCTGGTGAGGACTCGGGGTCAGGGGTGGACCCGGGGGTGATGTCCCCTGGTGAGGACTCAGGGTCAGGGGTGGACCCGGGGGTGATGTCCCCTGGAGAGGACTCGGGGTCAGGGGTGGACCCGGGTGTGATGTCATCTGGAGAGGACTCGGGGTCAGGGGTGGACCCGGGTGTGATGTCATCTGGAGAGGACTCGGGGTCAGGGGTGGACCCGGGTGTGATGTCCTCTGGTGAGGACTCGGGGTCAGGGGTGGACCCGGGGGTGATGTCCCCTGGTGAGGACTCGGGGTCAGGGGTGGACCCGGGCGTGATGTCCCCTGGAGAGGACTCAGGGTCAGGGGTGGACCCGGGCGTGATGTCATCTGGAGAGGACTCGGGGTCAGGGGTGGACCCGGGCGTGATGTCCCCTGGTGAGGACTCGGGGTCAGGGGTGGACCCGGGGGTGATGTCCCCTGGTGAGGACTCGGGGTCAGGGGTGGACCCGGGCGTGATGTCCCCTGGAGAGGACTCGGGGTCAGGGGTGGACCCGGGTGTGATGTCATCTGGAGAGGGCTCGGGGTCAGGGGTGGACCCGGGCGTGATGTCCCCTGGTGAGGACTCGGGGTCGGGGTGGACCCGGGCGTGATGTCATCTGGAGAGGACTCGGGGTCAGGGGTGGACCCGGGCGTGATGTCCCCTGGTGAGGACTCGGGGTCAGGGGTGGACCCGGGCGTGATGTCCCCTGGAGAGGACTCGGGGTCAGGGGTGGACCCGGGTGTGATGTCATCTGGAGAGGACTCGGGGTCAGGGGTGGACCCGGGCGTGATGTCCCCTGGTGAGGACTCAGGGTCAGGGGTGGACCCGGGCGTGATGTCATCTGGAGAGGACTCGGGGTCAGGGGTGGACCCGGGCGTGATGTCCCCTGGTGAGGACTCGGGGTCAGGGGTGGACCCGGGGGTGATGTCCCCTGGTGAGGACTCGGGGTCAGGGGTGGACCCGGGCGTGATGTCCCCTGGAGAGGACTCAGGGTCAGGGGTGGACCCGGGTGTGATGTCATCTGGAGAGGACTCGGGGTCAGGGGTGGACCCGGGCGTGATGTCCCCTGGTGAGGACTCGGGGTCAGGGGTGGACCCGGGGGTGATGTCCCCTGGTGAGGACTCGGGGTCAGGGGTGGACCCGGGGGTGATGTCCCCTGGAGAGGACTCAGGGTCAGGGGTGGACCCGGGTGTGATGTCATCTGGAGAGGGCTCGGGGTCAGGGGTGGACCCGGTGGTGATGTCCCCTGGTGAGGACTCGGGGTCAGGGGTGGACCCGGGCGTGATGTCATCTGGAGAGGACTCGGGGTCAGGGGTGGACCCGGGGGTGATGTCCCCTGGTGAGGACTCGGGGTCAGGGGTGGACCCGGGTGTGATGTCCTCTGGTGAGGACTTGGGGTCAGACGTGGACTCAGGCGTAATGTCATCTGGTGAGGACTCGGGGTCAGGGCTGGACCCAGGCGTGATGTCACCCTGGTGAGGACTCAGGCTCGGGGGTGGCGTGCCCGCGGGCAGGCTCTCGGGTCCTCACTCCTGACATCTCCCCGGAGCCTCCTCCTCACACCTTTCCCTCTTTCCCAGTTTTTCTGTGGTTTAGAGTCTGGGCTGGAGCTGGCCAGAGTCAAGCTTCCCCGGGCCTGGGAGCTGTGTGGCGGCAGGAGACAGTGCTGAGTGGGGCCCGGCCTCCAGAGCCAGCTGGGACCCCGGCTGCAGTCACCGCGGGCACTGCATGTGCCCCTGGGCAGCAGGTGGCAGGGGGATGTCACCCAGCAGTGGAGGACAGAACTGAAAGGCCCCAGCCGCGGGGGCAGTGACCAGGGCAGCAGGTGTTCAGGGAACACCTGTCGCGTCATCTGCCCCTTCTTGGTGGCATGCCACTCTGTTACTGCTGACTGTGGACCCTGTGCTGACCATGGGCCCTATGCTGACCATGGACGCTGTGCTGACCATGGAGTGTGCTGACCGTGGGCCCTATGCTGACCATGGACGCTGTGCTGACCGTGGAGTGTGCTGACCGTGGAGTGTGCTGACCATGGACGCTGTGCTGACCGTGGAGTGTGCTGACCATGGATGCTGTGCTGACCATGGAGTGTGCTGACCGTGGAGTGTGCTGACCGTGGAGTGTGCTGACTGTGGATGCTGTGCTGACCATGGAGTGTGCTGACCGTGGATGCTGTGCTGACCGTGGAGTGTGCTGACTGTGGATGCTGTGCTGACCATGGAGTGTGCTGACCGTGGATGCTGTGCTGACCGTGGAGTGTGCTGACTGGATGCTGTGCTGATCGTGGAGTGTGCCGACCGTGGATGCTGTGCTGACCGTGGAGTGTGCTGACTGTGGATGCTGTGCTGATCGTGGAGTGTGCTGACCGTGGATGCTGTGCTGACCGTGGAGTGTGCTGACTGTGGATGCTGTGCTGACCGTGGAGTGTGCTGACTGTGGATGCTGTGCTGACCATGGGCCCTATGCTGACCATGGACGCTGTGCTGACCGTGGAGTGTGCTGACTGTGGATGCTGTGCTGATCGTGGAGTGTGCTGACCGTGGAGTGTGCTGACCGTGGGCCCTGTGCTGACCATGGACGCTGTGCTGACCGTGGAGTGTGCTGACCATGGATGCTGTGCTGACCATGGAGTGTGCTGACCATGGATGCTGTGCTGACCGTGGAGTGTGCTGACTGTGGAGTGTGCTGACTGTGGATGCTGTGCTGACCATGGAGTGTGCTGACCGTGGATGCTGTGCTGACCGTGGAGTGTGCTGACTGTGGATGCTGTGCTGACCATGGAGTGTGCTGACCGTGGATGCTGTGCTGACCGTGGAGTGTGCTGACCGTGGAGTGTGCTGACTGTGGATGCTGTGCTGATCGTGGAGTGAGCTGACCGTGGATGCTGTGCTGAGCGTGGAGTGTGCTGAGCGTGGAGTGTGCTGACCGTGGAGTGTGCTGACCGTGGATGCTGTGCTGACCGTGGAGTGTGCTGACCGTGGGCCCTATGCTGACCATGGACGCTGTGCTGACCATGGAGTGTGCTGACCGTGGGCCCTATGCTGACCATGGACGCTGTGCTGACCGTGGAGTGTGCTGACCGTGGATGCTGTGCTGATCGTGGAGTGTGCTGACCGTGGATCCCGTGCTGACCGTGGACCCTGTGCTGACCGTGGACCCTGTGCTGACCGTGGACACTGTGCTCACCAGGGTCCGGGGGTCCCACGTCCACATGAGTCACGCGACCTTCGTCTAATCCACTTCTCTGCACACAGCAGGGCTGCTTTGAACCGCCCTTCTTCCCTGACATTGTCCCTGCAGTGCCGGGAACATGAGGGCATGAGTGGGGGCCCTTCCCACCAGCAGAGGGAGGAGCCACTGCTGCCCCTTCCTCCGAGGGCGCCCTCCACCCCCGTCAGGGGTGGCGAGCCCCAGCAGTGCCCCTGTCCTGTCTGTCTCTGCAGTGCTGGCCACCATCAACATGAAGGGGTTTAAGGTGGACTCGTTCAAGCATCTGTACAAGCTGCAGGTAGGTGTCGGCCGCGGGCCTGGGCAGAGCTGCTCCAGGACAGGCCTTGGGCCCAGCTTCGGGACCGCTGCCACTTGTATCGGGCAGTGCGGGGAGCGCCTCCCAGGAGGCCGGGAGGGACAGCGGTGAACATGGATGCTGGGTGCAGGGCCGTGGCCAAGAACTCTCCCCAGAGATGCGCTGGGCAGCTCTCCCCCTTGGCCCCGTGAGCCACGACGAGGACGGACGCGGGTGCCAGCCGGCGCCCTCTCTCCTGGCTCAGCAGGGCCGGGTGCTCGGGATCAGCTCTGCTTCGCAAGAACTCTGCAGGCTCCCTGTGGCTCCAGGCCCACGCTGCCCGTGCCCCCTTCCAGGTGCAAACGCCCCCTCCCCTCGGCCTCCTCCACAGTCTTTTCTTTTTTTTTTTTTAAGATTTTTTTTTTAACATCTTAAGATGTTAAGATGTCTTTTTTTTTTAAGATCTTTTTTTTAAGATGTTTTCATGTGGACCGTTTCTAAAGGCTTTATTGAATTTGTCAAAACATTGCTTCTGTTCTCTGTTTCAGTTTTTTGGCCAGAGACATGTGGCCCCTAGTTCCCTGACCAGGGATCCAACCTACACCCTGTGCGTCAGGAGGCCAAGCGTTGACCCCTGACTCGCCAGGGGAGTCCCCTCAGTTTTAGTCCCCTGTGATCACTGGTTTCTGCGAGTTTCCGGCCTTGTTGGAAGCAGGGAGCTGTGCCAAGAGCAGTGTCACAGCTGTGCCTCCTGTTGCGTCTCCCTTGCTGTTGCTTTCCTCTCGTTCCCTTAAAAGCAGTTTTATTGAAGAACAATTTAAACACCATTGAATCCACCCATTGAAAATGTGCGATTAGCAGGTCTTTTTGCAACCGTCATCTGTCTAGAAGGCCTCCTCCTGCAGTTAGCTCCCATCCCAGGGAGCTGTAAGTTGGCCTTTTCTGAATGGCAACCCACTCCAGTATTCTTGCCTGGAGAATCCCATGGAGGGAGGAGCCTGGGAGGCTACAGTCCATGGGGCCGCAAAGAGTCGGACACGACTGAGCTAGTTCACTTCACTTCATCAAAATGGGGCCTTCAGTGTCCATTCTGTCGTGCTGCCTGACGACTCTGAGGCCCACGTGTTGTGCCTCGATCGGCGCCACGTCCCTCCTGATAGCGGAGCTCAGGGCCCGGCTCCCCGCCTCGTTGGCGCTGACACAGGTCGCTTGCGTTTTGAATGCTGATCAACATTTGCATTCTCCGGCTGAATCCCTCTTGGTTGTGGAGTAGTCTTATTTTATATACCGCTGTTTTCAACTCGTTCAGATTTTGTTGAGGACTTTTGCTTCTGTGTTCGTGAGGAGTGCTGATGCTTGGTTTTCTTTTCTTGAAATGCCTTTATTTGATTTTGGAATTAGGGTCATGCTGACCTCATAAAATGCCCTCCTTTTCTATCTTCTGGAAGAGATTGTGTAGAAATGTTAGTATGTCTTACTCACCGTTTGGTAAAATTCACCATTGAGAGCATCTGGACTTGAAATTTTCTTTTTTAGAAGATTTTTTATTAGAAATTTAATTTTTCTAATGGATACAGCATAGTTCAGGTTACTGCTTCTTAAGTGAGTTTTGGTAGCTTGTGTCTTTCAAGGATTCATTCTATCCTTTTTCACCTATGCTTTGAATTCATGACCGTAGAGTGTTTGTAATGATCCATTAATATCCTTTGAATGTCTTTGTTGTAAGTAATGATGACCTTTCCTTCACTCCTGTTATTTACAATTTCATGTATTCTTCTTTTTAAAGAAAGTCTTGGTCAGTATGACTTGAAGCTTATCGCTTTTGTTGATATTTTCAGAGAACCAGGTTTTGCTTTTTTCTCTAGTATGTTTTTGCTTTCTATGTATTTCTAGTGTAATCTCTAACATTTTCTACCTATGCTTCCTTATGCATAGAATTTGCTCTACTTTTACTAGTTTTTTTTTTCTGGTTGAAGCTTAGGTTACTGACTTGAGACTTCGTGTTTTTCTAATACAAGCATTTAGTGCTATGAATTTTCCTGTGTACACTGGTTTTGCTCCATCTCACCAATTTTGGAATGCTGTATTTTTTTTCACTTTTGCTGTATTTTGCTGTATTTTTTAAAATTTTCAAGTGATGTTTTTAAAATGTTCAAAGCATTAAATTTTCATTGAATTTAATTATTAAATTTTCATTTCTATATTCCATGTATCTGTTGGAAGCATGTTGTTTAATTTCTCAGTGTTTGGGGATTTTCTAGATATCATTCTGTTAGTGATTTCTATTTTAATAGTGTGAAAATCCAAGAACTTACCTGTTGTGATCTCTGTTCTTTTATATCTGCTACAGTTTGCTTTATGGCTTATGATGCGGTTATTCTTGGTGCGTGGTCTGTGAGCACTGTGGAAGAGTGGTGCTCTGGGTTTGTTTGTGCGTTTCCATTAGGTCGGGCTGGCAGGTGTTACTCTCAGGTGTCTCTGTCGTTGCTGATGATCAGAGCTCAGCCCACCGATGAAGAGAAGGGTGCTGATGTCTCTGAACTCATTTGTGTTCTGTGCTGCTCTCAGCCTGTCCACAACCAGTCCACAGGTCCCTGCGTCCTTACTGTGAGCGCAGGATGCCCTCAGCAATAGCCATCGGGTTATTATTCCCTTTGTTTTACTCTTTGGTTTATTTTTCTGATTTCTTGAGATGGATAACTAGCCCCCACACTCGGTTTTATGTTTCTCTTTGTCCCTTTGTCTTAATACACGTGGGATATGTTTTGGGGCCTGTGGGGAACAGGAGCACCTGCTGTGGGTGGTCGCAGAGGTGCGCCGGGTGAGGGGCACGGAACGTCCGCGCCCAGCAGGGACGAGTGGAGAGAGGGAGTTCCTCAAATGCTGACTTGTCATTTTCAGGTCTTCTGATCTCCCTTCTTCCTGGCGTCAGACTCAGCATTTGATTTGGTTTGTTCCTAGAGCCACAAGCCCATTTTGATCATGGAATTCTGGGTCGGCTGGTTTGATACGTGGGGAAGCGATCACAAGGTGATGGGTGTGAATGGTGAGTCTGCCGTGGTGTCTGCCCCGCGAGCGTCGCTCAGCCTGCCCTGCTCCTTGGTCAGCTGTCCGACCCGCACCTCCTGTGGAGGGGCCGCGGCCAAGCCCGAGGGTGCGAGGGCCTGAGCCACTGGCTCTGCGCCCTGGAGGCTCGCCGCTCCGTGGACGGACAGGTGGTCGGGTAAACACTCAGTGAAGAGTCCCCGACCCCTGACCAAGCCGCTGCGGGGACAGAAGAGGCAGGGCCGGCTACTGGGGGCTCCCACACGTCTCTGAGGGCGGATGCCTCTCCTGAACGTCACAGTGGCTTCTGCAGCTGAGGGGCCAGGAGGTGAGAGTGACTGGAGATCCTGGAGCCAAAGCAGCAAGGATCTCAGGCCCGGCTCTGCGGCCCCAGTGAGGTGGCCCCTGTAACCGCCTCCTTCCCGGAGCGCTGTTGTCAGGATGAAGTGTGGCGATCCGGGTAAACCGCCCAGAGCAGCGCCTGGAGGAGGTTGTTAATAGAAGTGTTTTTCTACCAACGACATTTACAAAAGCAAGCTCACTTGTACCGGAAATAAAGACAACAATTGAAAGATATTGGGTAACTGAGAAAAACCTGCTTTGAACTGCAAAATAGGGAGCAAACAAAAATAACTTCAGACTGCCACCAGTGAACAACAGGTTTCTGACCACGTGTCTGTCAGGCGCTGTGCGTGTTCCTTCCCCATTAGTTAATTCTCATCCGTGTGTGATGTGGAAGGGAGGAGGACCTTTGTTCAACAGACAGGGGAGCAGAGGCTCTGAGAGGGCAAGTGGGCTGAGCACAGTCAGATGGAGAGGGAGGGGTCAGCCAGCGCTGAGCCCACGCCTGTGAGCCTTCCTGCCCTTCAGGGCCAGCGTGGCCTCGGGGCACGAAGGAGAAGGCAGTGGTCACTGGCCCCAGCGATACTACCCGAGCAGGCAGTTCACAAGAACAGACGAATTATTTGTATAATTTCAAAAAATTTAATGAGCACGAGATCCTTAAGTGATGCAGAGGCTCTCAGGCTGCTATTTAATAGATGTAGCTCAGAGTGAAATTCTCTGGGAGAAGTAACTTTTGAAAAGGCTCTTAGTATTGGAGAAGGGAGTGGCAAGCCACTCCAGTTTTCTTGCCTGGATCATTGCATGGACAGGGGAGACTGGGGGGCTACAGTCCATGGGATTGCAGAGAGTCGGACACAACTGAGCGACTAACACTTGCTTAGTTTGGCCAAGCTTAGTTTTCTAGGGTGGCTGTGGTCAATCCCACCTGCTGTCTGGTTAGATGCTCTGTGGACGCTGAGGGCCCATGGGGCAGCGCCGGAAAGGAGCGGCTTTCCCAGAGACCTCTGTCTTCTCTGAAGTTTTAGCCTTCGCTATTTCTCATCTTCCTCTGCAGAGGTTGAAAAGAGTGTGTCTGAATTTATCCGATTTGGGATCTCCTTCAACGTGTACATGTTCCACGGGGGGACCAACTTTGGTTTCATGAACGGGGCCACGAGTTTTGAGAAGCACAGAGGTGTTACCACGAGCTACGGCAAGTGTTTTCCGGGAGGGGCCCCCCTGAGCCTGGGGGCCCTGCAGCTTGACCGGGGAGGCCCCTCAAGCATCATGGGGTTCTTGGCCCCTAATCTATGCTGAGCACCGAGAATTCCCTCATCTCTGTGTCTCCTTCCCTCTGACATGATCACAGTGCAGAGAGCAGGCTGACCTCACCGCATAGGGGCCGCCGTGACCTCTCACTCTGCCCTGCCCGTCCTGATCGTGGGCCCCTGACCTGGGCTCCCCAGTAGAACCTGGGGTGGTGCCTTGTGGGCCCTGGAGACCTCCTGGGTGGCTAGGCTGGGGGCAGATGAGTGTCCTCTGCGAAAGGAAGCAGGGCAGGCCAGGTGGCCGTGGCCTCGGACATGGGCATGGCGGTGGGGATGGCCAGAGAGGTCTGGGCCGGGAAGTCGGTTCCCACACTCTTTGGGGGCCCTGCCTGGAGAAGGCGGCCGGTGGGGAGCCTGTCCGGAGGAGGCGGCTGGTGTCTTGCAGACTACGACGCGGTGCTGACAGAGGCTGGGGACTACACCACCAAGTACTTCGCGCTCCGGAACCTCTTTGAATCCATCCTGGGTACTCAGCTGCCATTTTGTTGGGGGGCTGGGCCTCCTCGGGAAGTTGTGGGAGGGGGTAGGAGAGGGAAGGGCTCTCCATGGGCAGAAACTTAAAAGGCAGTGAAGGCAGGGGCCTCCTTAGTTCAAACCCTGGTTTTCCCACCTGAGAACCACGTTGTTTTTAAGCCCTCTGAGCGACAACATATTCTCTTAATGTGAAGAGAGTGGTGCTTGTCTGCTGGAAGTTGGAGTGACTGTTGACAAAGCTCTCTGCATGGAGATGCCCTCATGCGCTCCTGAGAGTCACCCTGTGAACTGTATCTGCGGAGATTATGTTAGGGAGGCGCCTCCCACATGCCAGGGAGCCAGGCGGCAGCGGCAGCAGGCAGAGACCTCCCGCCCTGAGCTCCCCGGGGGTCTGGTCCTCCAGCATCTCACGGCTGGAGGAACGCCACTAGGCTGGGACCCCATCTCCTGCGGCCCTGGGAGGGCGGGGCGGCGTGGGGAAGGAGGGGACGCTTCCTGCTGCCCGTTTCCTTTGCAGTCAGGCCCCTGCCCCCTCTTCCGAGTCCCACTCCCAAGACGGTGTACCCCTCCTTGAAGCTATCTCACTACCTGCCGCTGTGGGAGGCCCTGCCTTACCTGCAGAGGGTGAGCACCCCCTGGGCTCCGGGGACCTGGGGTGGCTGCTGGGGACACGGGGGCCGAGGCCACAGAGCAGGGAGGCCCTCGGGGCTTTCTGTGGAAGCGGGGGCGTGCTCCTACGTTTTGTCCACGTTTGGGACCAGCGGGCAGAGCCGGGGTGCCTCCTGGGAGGACTATGAACGGGTGTGAGCTGAAGAGTGGGGGGCCTGGGGGGAATGGGGCCGCAGAGACGCCTGCTCACAGGCCCCGTCCTGAGCGTGGCCGAGCAGCCCGTGCAGCTGGGCTCCGCGTCCTCTCCAGCACCGCCTCGTCCGACGGCGGGGCCCCCTGCTCCCCCTGAGACTAGGGTCCGTGTCCCCGCAGAAGAGAAGGCAAGCCTTGCTTGGAAGATGTCAGCTCTGCTTTTATTCACATTAATTTGTTTTTGCTTATTTCTTTGGCCATGTCGGGTCTTACTTGCGGCAGCCTTTGTTTTACTTGCCGCATGGGGGATCTTTAGCTGTGGCATGCGGGAGCTAGTTCCCTGACCAGGGGCTGAACCCAGGCCCCCCACACGAGGAGCACAGCGTCTCAGCCCCTGGAGCCCAGGGACGTCCCTGGGAGGCGTTCCCTCTTGAGCTCACGGGGTTTCGCCTGCGCTGAGCCTCCTTCCACTGGTGAGCCGTGCTGCGCACGCTGCAGATGCAAATGCACGCTTGCTCGATGCATCGCTTTGCTCTCTGGCAAAGTCTCGACTGAGCTGGGACACAGTCGTTGACGCTGCTGGTTCTCAGGATTAGAGAGGGGGCCCCTCTGCCCGCCCCCAGGCTCCTGGTCGGTGGAGACTAGGGCACAGGCGTAGTCACACGGCGTCTCATCAAAGGGCTCTTGGGGACCGTTGGGAGGCATAGCCAAGCTTGCCCAGGGTCTTAGGGAGAAGGGCCTGGTCCTCACCCCAGCTCCCTGCCACCTCTCAGCCGGTCACCTCTAATGTTCCACTCAACATGGAGAACCTGCCCATCAACAACGGCAATGGCCAGTCCTTCGGGTTTGCGCTTTATGAGATGACCATCTGCTCCGGGGGCCGGCTCTATGCCAACGCGCAGGACGAGGCTCAGGTGGGCTGGCGTCTGGCTGCAGGAGGACATCAGCCCAGCTCCGCCGTGGGGCAGGGCCAGTCGCTGGGCCCCTTCGCTGTTTGATATGCTTTTAAGCACCTCTGTGTGTGAGGCTTGATTGGGGTGGAAAAGGCCCATTTTACCTGTCGCACTGTAAGTCTACTGGGGTCTCTGGCCGGGCCGGCTTCTGGCCGCCCGCGGACAGCAGGCTGGCGGCTCCCTTCCTGGAGACTGCCCCAACCTCGATCTCCCTGCCCCTTCCTCTGGGTTGGCCTCTCCGTCCGATGCCGGCCCTTCTTTTGCAGGTATTTTTGAATGAGACAAGTTTAGGGATTCTGACTGATGTTTATCAGGACATAGACATTCCTCCAATCACGGTATGTAACTCGGACATCAAGCTGCTGCCCTAGACCCAGGCCTCCAGCGCAAATGCGCTGTTCCTGAGGCAGACCCTCCAGTCTCCCCCTCTGCCGGGGGCGATGGGCCCCTCAGGGTCTTGGCAGAAGGGCTGGGGTTGTGAGTCTGCGTGCGTGCCCCGGGCCCTGATGTGTCCTGGGCTTCAGCTTCTGCACTGGGGTGAGGGTGGACTTTTCCTGCCAAACCCCTAGCTGGCTCTGTCTCAGTGCCACTGAGCCCTGGGCCTCTGCGAGGGTGGACCAGGCAGGACCCTTTGGAGCAGGAGCACTCAGGGTCCTGGGGCGCCCTGGGCTCCCCGTCTCTTGTCTTCCATCTGGGACTCTGACAAGACCGGGCTCCAGAGGACAAGCCTTCCGTGCTGTGTCCCCATGAACTGGTCTGTCCCAAGCAGGAATGTCAGCTTCTAAGGATCCTGGTGGAGAATCAAGGACGAGTCAATTTTTCATGGAAAATTCAAAATCAGCGGAAAGGTGGGCTCTGGTAACAGCCATGCCCTCCCTGCCTTGTGACGTGGACCCGAAGGTTGAGGGTGGGATTGGAGGAAAGACTGTCCCCCGGGAGAGGCGGACCCTGGGTCTGGGGACCAGCAGCACCTGTGCCCCACCCCCCACTCCCCCCACTGACCCCTGGTCCTGTTGACTCCCACTGCTGGGCCAGGCATCCTGGCTCTCTGCTGTGGGACCCAGACCCTCTGGGGAATACCAGGGGAAGTCCAGGGCCTGGGTGGGAAGCTTTCCTGGTGGTTTGGAGACCCTCAGTAACACAGGTCAGACCAATCTTTCCCCCAGGCCAAGCCCCAGTCACAGATGACTCCGGGCTGTGAGTCTGTGCTTGGACAGCAGAGAATGTCCCAGCCATCTTACCTCTGCTCCCTCCCTCTGCAGGATTGATCGGACCTGTTACTCTGGATAAAATTCCCCTGAGCAGGTTCACCATCTATTCTCTGGAGCTGAAAATGACATTCTTCAAGAAGTATGTTCCTTCTAACACTAAACCTGACTGTGACCCTGACACTGACCCTAAACCTGACTCTGACAGTAACTCTGACCCTGACCCTTACTTTAACCCTGACTCTAACCCTGACCCTGGCCCTAACCCCAACCCTAAACCTGACCCTGACCCTGGCCCTGGCCCTGACCCTGACCCTGACCCTAACTCTGACCCTGACCCTGACCCTGACCATGGCCCTGGCCCTGACCCTGACCCTGACCCTGACCCTGGCCCTGACCCTGACCCTGACCATGGCCCTGGCCCTGGCCCTGACCCTGACCCTGACCCTGACCATGGCCCTGGCCCTGACCCTGACCCTGACCATGGCCCTGGCCCTGACCCTGACCCTGACCCTGACTGTAACCCTAACTCTGACCCTGACCCTGACTGTAACCCTGACCCTGACCCTGACCCTGGCCCTGACCCTGACTCTAACCCTAACCCTAACCCTGGCCCTGGGTCTGGCCTAACTTTGGAGACCAGGGAGCTCGAGGTCCCCAACCCTTCCCTTTGCAGACGAGGGGCCAAGGTTCATGGCCCCAGAGTGAGGTGCTCAGGGTCATCAGGGATCCCGGTTCCAGCAGAGCCCCTTACACAGAACCCCCGTCCTGTGGGGGGGGCCCGGGTCAGCCCATCCTGTGGGTGGGGGGGGGGGCCCGGGTCAGCCCATCCTGTGGGCGGGTCCAGGGTCAGCCCATCCTGTGGGCGGGTCCAGGGTCAGCCCATCCTGGGGGGGGGCCCGGGTCAGCCCATCCTGTGGGGGGGGTCCAGGGTCAGCCCATCCTGTGTGGGGGCCCGGGTCAGCCCATCCTGTGTGTGTGGGGGGGCCCGGGTCAGCCCATCCTGTGGGCGGGTCCAGGGTCAGCCCATCCTGTGGGGGGGGGTCCAGGGTCAGCCCATCCTGTGTGGGGGCCCGGGTCAGCCCATCCTGTGTGTGTGGGGGGGCCCGGTTCAGCCCATCCTGGGGGGGGGCCCGGGTCAGCCCATCCTGTGTGGGGGCCCGGGTCAGCCCATCCTGTGGGCGGGTCCAGGGTCAGCCCATCCTGTGGGGGGGGGTCCAGGGTCAGCCCATCCTGTGGGGGAGGCCCGGGTCAGCCTATCCTGTGTGGGGGCCCAGGTCAGCCCATCCTGTGTGTGGGGGGGGGCCCGGGTCAGCCCATCCTGTGGGCGGGTCCAGGGTCAGCCCATCCTGTGGGCGGGTCCAGGGTCAGCCCATCCTGTGGGGGGGTGCAGGGTCAGCCCATCCTGCAGGGGGTCCAGGGTCAGCCCATCCTGTGGGGGAAGCCCGGGGTCAGCTCGTCCTGTGGAGGAGATCAGGGGTCAGCCCGTCTTGTGGGGGAGGTCAGGGGTCATCCCGGGGTCAACCCATCCTGTAGAGAAGGCCCAGGGTCAGCATGTCCTGTGAGGAAGCCAGGTCAGCTCATCCTGTTGGGTGGCCCTGAGTCAGCACGTCCTGTGGGAGGCCCGGGGTCAGTCCGTCCTGTGAGGGAGGTCAGAGGTCAGCCTGTCGTGTGGAGAGGTCAGGGGTCAGCCCATCCTGTGGGGGTCCCGGGGTCAGTCCATCCTGTGAGGGAGGTCAGGGCTCAGCCTGTCTTGTGGGGAGGTCAGGGGTCAGCCCGTCCTGTGGGGGAGGTCAGGGGTCAGCCCGTCCTATGGGGGTCCCAGGGTCAGCCCGTCCTGTGGGGGCTTGGGGTCAGCGTGAGCCTTGGCACTGGGAAAGGCTTTCCTGCTCCTCATGTGTGGCCCCCCAGGCTCCGCTCTGCAGCCTGGAGGCCTCTCAGGGGCCCCACCTCGAGCCCTGCCTTCCACCTGGGCACGCTGATGGCTGGCTCTTCCCCGCAGGATACCTTCCTCCAGCTGCCCGTGAGTGAGCGCCCCTCTACGCACGCCTGTCCTCGCGGGGTCTGGAAGGGAGGCCCCTGCGTTCTTTCCCTTCCTCACTTTAACCAAGGTTTCCAGCAGGTTTCAGTCCTCCTAACTTTTCATTGTTTAAGAAATAATACATCAAAGCACAGTGGAAAAGTTCAAATAATAATATGTAGATAGCAAAGGGTGTAGGTTCTCTCCCGACCCCCCCAACTCCTCTCTACTTCCCAGGATTAGGCGTGGCCAACGGTTTCATGTGTGGTTTCATGAGTAACTGTGCTTGGACACATACATGTCATACCTTTTTACACTAATGGCATTCCATAAAGTGTATTTTCCAATTTGCCTCCTTTCCTCGGATATTATTTTTTACCTAGTATATCTTCTATATGTAAATACCTGCATAATATAAAGCACAAAATATGAATATACAGATCAATAAATTATCACAATCAATAAATTATCAATAAATTATCACAACAGTGAACACCATAAAATTACCAGTGAGATAGAAAACGAAACATTGTCAACACCCCTCCCAGTGCGAACCTCCCCTAACAGGTCCCAATGCAGAGAGCAGACTAGTTAATGAGGTTCCCTGAGACCGAGCTTTCCCGGATGAAACCTTGGTGTGTGTGAGGTGTGAGAGCTCTGCTCCGCCTCTCGCCTTCCCTTCCTGGGTGAGCAGGCGCCTCTAGGGGAACACTGTTTCCATGTCTTCCCCCAGGTGTTGGTCCTGGAATTCTTCCTTGGATCACAAGTAGATTAAAACCACATAACTTTTATGGTTGTTGTCAACAGCGGTGTTCACCCCTAGTACCTCGTACTTGTTTCTGGGAGCAGAAGCCTTGCTGTTTGAAAAAAGACAGCAACGCCTGTCATAGCTTCGGAGCCTCGGCTGCCCCCCGGTGACAGGGGCTCTGTGCTCCCGGGCTCCTCTCCTCACTCCATACCCGGGAGTCCCGGGCTGCCCCCGGTGGCAGGGGCTCCGTGCCCCCCCGGGCTCCCCTCCTCACTCCATACCTGGGAGTCCCGGGCTGCCCCCGGTGGCAGGGGCTCCGTGCCCCCCCAGGCTCCTCTCCTCACTCCATGCCCGGGAGTCCCGGGCTGCCCCCGGTGACAGGGGCTCTGTGCTCCCGGACTCCCCTCCGTGTTCCACGCCCGGGAGCCTCACCTGTACCGTGCAGTGACTGTTCCCGGGTCTCCAGTCTGCTTCCCTTGCAGGGCTGGAAGCACGGGTGTGTGTTCATCAATGGCCATAACCTTGGGCGGTACTGGAATATTGGGCCTCAGGAAGCGCTTTATCTGCCTGGCTCCTGGCTCCAGCCTGGCACCAATGAGGTGGGTGGCCCCAGCCCCCCTTTAGGGCTCAGACCCGCCCTCACCCCAGGCCTGCTCATCCTGCGGGGCTCACTCTTTCTTCCGCCACCCTGCCTGTCCTTCCAGATTGTCCTGTTCGAGAAGGAGAAGAGCAGCTCAGATATCTACAGCACAGACATCCGCAGATGGGTGGTACCGGGTCCAGACAGCATTCTTCACTGACCGAGTCCATCCCCAGGTGCACTTTCAGGCCGAAGATTATATCCATAATATCACACAGCATTGCCTACAGTAGCAGGAATTTAAAATATCCTAAAAATCAACAGGGAAATTGTTATGTTTATTATAGTAAATTCATGTGATGCTGATTTCAGCCTTTAAAGAGTCTCCAAAACCTTCAGTGATAGATTTGCCAGTTAGGCGCTCAACCTGCAGCATGTTTTAGTCTCTGCTCAAAAGTGCTTCTGGGGCAGATACGAGTAAAATGAACGTGCTTTATTTCTGCCTCTCCATACTCAGTTGGGAGAAATGGACCTGTCTTTGGCTGAAGAGAGGGTGAAGAGAGAGCGTATTTTATGTTCTGTCTGGAGACTCCTGGTGTGTGTGTGTGTGTGTGTGCGCGTGCGCGCGTGTGTGCATGCATTTGTGTGTGTGTGTCTGTGTGCATTTGTGTATGTCTGTGTGTGCATGTGCATGCATTTGTGTGTGTATATGTGCGTGCATCTGTGTATCTGTGTGTGTGTGCATGTGTGTGTATCTGTGTTTGCATGTATGCATGCACTTGTGTGTGTATGGGTCTGTGTGCATTTGTGTATGTCTGTGTGTGCATGTGCATGCATTTGTGTGTGTGTATGTGTGCGTGCATGTGTGTGTATCTGTGTGTGTGCATGTATGCATGCATTTGTGTGTGTGTGTGTATCTGTGTGTGTGTGTAGTTGCGGGGGTGCAAGGACAGTGAGCAATGTCTTCAGGCTTTTCCCTCCCGTCTGTGTGTCTCTGTGGTGGTCTGCTGGGTCATCCAGTCAGAGAAGGAACAACAGTGTGATTGTTGGCTGTGACACTCGTGTGACAGCAGGGCCTGGCATGGAGCACCTGTCGTGACTCCTGAGCCGTCTGTGTGTAGTCACAGCTCTTACTGGTCGAGGACGGATGCTGGTGGGAGAAGCCCCGCGGTGGTGAATACTGCAACCAGCTCTCAAAAGGCAGCACTGGGAGGCAGTCCCTTACAGCCCTCCCTCTGTGTCTGAGGGGACTGATGCCAGGAGCCCCAACGGTGCCCAAGTCCCTTACAAAACACAGTGAGCAGACCATCTGCATATGATGCACACACGTCCTTCCCCGTACCGCACTTCAAATCCTCTCTAGATTACCTGTAATACCTAATGCAATGTAAATGCTAAGTGAACAGTTACTGGCTCGTGATAAATTTAACTTTTGCTCTTGGGAATTTTCTGGAATTGTTTTCCCAAGTAGGTTTCGATTCTCGGTTGGTAGAGCTATGGATGTGTTACCTGTGGATGTGGAGGGCCAACTGTGCTTATAATCCAAATACAGCACCTGGCTTGAACTCAAAGCAGTGCACCAAAAACAAACTTATCACTTCGTTATGTTGTGTAGAGGTTTCAAGAAGTTTAGCAAGTAATCTGGTGTCCAGAGGGAAGAAGGAACCATCCTATTTGGCAGGAGGAGAAAGTGAGACTGCCTTCTACTCCACTGTTGGGAATGGCTGGCTCGACGAAGGAGAATTCTACCATGAACCACACAACTCCTACAAAGGACCTTGTTATTGTCTGGGGCTTTAAACTCAAATCCGTGGAGTCTGTGGAGAAAGGCAGAAATCAGAACCATCAGATCACAAGAAAGTATTATACCTCAGATATGATGTATACATCATTTCTAAACATGAGAACTATGCCCAGATGGAAAAACTAAGGCTCAAGGAGATGTGTCTTTTTTTGATGACTATTGTGTTTTTGATTTACTCTTGTTTTGCTTTCCTATCTCTGCTCTAATTATTTTCTATGCTTTTAAATTGTGTATCTAAATGAGGTGATGTGGATTTACTAAATTTACTGTGATCATCGTTTCGTGACGTATGTAAGTCAGATCATTATGGCGCACACCTTGAATGTATGCCATGCTGATGCCAATTCTGTGTCAATAAAACTAGGAGGAAGAAAAGATGCAAGAGCCCATTTCCTTCCAGAACCACGGTGGTGCTGGGATGGAGGCAGGTATGTCTCATCCACCAGTGCGTTCTCAGCCTCCAACACAGAGCACCAGCTCAGTAGGGCGTCCGGAGCAATCGGACCATGTCTGTCAGGGGTAAAGGACGTGAAGCGTTTCAGGGGAGGGTCACAACTGAGGGTTACTCAGTCTTGGTATATTCTGAGTTGCAAATAACCTGTCACACCCGGGTCTCCCTCATTGCAGGCAGATGCTTTTACCCTCTGAGCCATAGTCCAGGAGGGTGAAAGTGTATGAAAGTTCTTAATAACTGTTTTCGTAGATGATATTGATAGTTTTCATAGGAATCTTTAACCATTGCTTTATTTTACTTCAACTTAATGCAGTTTTAATGTTTCATTTTGTGGCGTCTCCCACACACATGCCTATATCTGAAAGCAAATGTTCAGATACTCAGGACAGACTCAGAGGGTGCAGCTGGTGCTCACCGCCGACAGCTCACACGGCTTGTATCTGCAATCGCTCTGCCACCAGGCAGGCATGCTGCTGTGCGTGGCCCCGCCTGCTCACTCCGGAGCCTGCCTTCCCCAGCCCTGGCCCACCCACGACACCCCCTCAGGACGTGGCTGCAGAGATGCACCACATCTGTTCTGCTTCGGTGCTTTCCGTCTCTTTGATCACAATCACATATCTGTGTCCAGTGCTGCGATTTCCTTCTCCCACCCGAAGTGGAGATGAAAACTGGGCTGTATCCTTGACTCAGGGTCACAAGCCACAGCTGCTTCCCCATTTCTCTGTTCCTCTTGCAGCAGATATCCTTGAAGGAGGCTTGTCTGCTTCCATCCGAGGCCCCTCGTCCTCCCTAGCCCATTCCGCTGCCCCAGCCTCTCCACACCTCCCTGCATCACAGTTGCCAGAGTCCTCGGTGGACCAAACCCTCTGCCGGCCAAGCAGCTGGCCCAAGTTGGGCTTCTGGGCCTCTGGACAGGCCGACCCTCCCAGTCTCCTCCATCCCAGGGATGGCAACCCTGCTTCCTCCTCTTTCTCAGGCCCAGCATGAGAGAGTCATTCTCGAATCCTCCTTATTTTTTCTCCCCACAAACGATCCAGGAATCAAAGACTCCTCCCCATGCCAGGCTGCCACTGTCTCACCACATGGACGTCTGCAGTAGCCTCCGGTCGGTGCCCTTTCTTGTACTGCTGCCCACTCCTGGCATCCAGATGACCTTTGGAAACACAGTGGACGCCATGCCCAGAGCCTGCCCTGGCTCCCTGATTCCCTGAGTCAGAGCTCTGCAATGGAAGGCCTGCCTAAGGGGTCTTGGTTCCCCTGGCCTCCTCCCTGCAGGCCTGGACCCCCGGGCACTGCCCCCCGGGACCCTCTCTGCTTGGCCGCCGCCCCCTCAGCCCCACACACAGGTGATGACTCAGGGCTTTGCTCGGCGAAGCCCTCTCGGTGAGGCCTCCTCTGTACACGGCACCCCCGACACCCCCTTCTCTCGTCTGCTTCCTTTATGCTGTGGAATTCACTGCCTTGGAGACAGGCTGGGACACGGTCCTTTTGTGGAGTTTGTACCTGGACCAACATCTGGAGCGACAGATACAAAGGCACTGCGGGTACAGCACGAAAGATGACTGCGAGCGGTTGGAGCAAATCATCCACGAGACACAGAAAGGCCACAATGCAGCTGCCACTTGTGAGGTGCCGGGCGCCAAAGCGGGGTCCCTGTACACAGCACCACCGGGGGGGAGCGCCTGCTCCCCACGCCCAGCCCCACCCTGGACCGGCCCCCCAGGGAGGAGCCCGCCTACTGCTCTGGCTCCCTGAGCTGCAGCAGGGGCCCCAGTGGGCTCCCCTGAGGCCTCCTCTGGCCTCTGGCCCACCCACAGGTTAAAAAGCCCAGGGTCGGTGTCGCCTTGAACACACGGGACTGACTGGTTTGTGCATTTTTGCTGTTCCGCTTCCTCAGCCGGGACAGACATCTCCGAGCGAGGGGCCACTGAAGCCTCCCCAGCACCCGAAGCAGTGCTCCACACACAGCGAACCCAAATGCTGTTGATCCTGCCTGGCTGAATGAATGCTGTTGAGTCAGATCTTGCTTTTCAGTCGCCCAGAGGCTGAGCTGCAAAGTGGCCTTTGGGAACGGCCCAGGCCAGCGCTGGAGCCGGTGCACCCCCGGCAAACACACAGGCCCCCAGCACCCCAGATGTGCCTTCCTGGGGAAGCCTTGACTGACCGTCCCAACTCGGACCCATTTTCCTTTCTCGTTTCCCGAGGACAAGGATTTTATTCTTTTTTTAAAAAAATTTTTAATTGAAGTCTTATTGCTTTACAGAATTGTGCTGGTTTCTGCCAAACAGCAACATGAATCAGCCGCAAGTGTATACATGACTCCTGCGGACAGTGGTTTTCCGCGTTCTTTCCATCCAGGGCTGAGATGATGCTCACTTACTCCCAGGCGGCCCCCTGTGCTCCCACTGGCTCACAGCTTCTTGGCTCCAGACTCTGGCAGCTTGACATGGAAACTGGGCTCCTGGTCCTCTCTCACCTCTCGTCCACCCTTGTCTCCACGGCAGGCAGCGGGAGAGTCCTGGGAGGGGAGGAGGTCAGCAGGACCTCGTTCTTTAAGGACCACCTGTTTCGTTCTGTTTTCTGCACACCGGCATGGGGGAGTTGGCCTGTGCAGGTTACCATTGCGGGTATTAGGTACGATCTGCACACACACCACTGTTTACAGCCTCATTGGCCGGGTCACTGAACTGTAGCCTCCCTGCCCAGTGATGTGAGAATTCCATGCTCTGCTCAGGGTCACGAGCAATCAAGCATTCTGCAAAGGAGTATCTTGAAGGCACCTCGTGCTACTCTTTTAAGAACCCGAAGTCTTGGCTCCTCAGCAAACACGTCTGGAGTAGCAGCACCTCTGCAGCATGGCCCTGGTATCACTAAATCCTGATGGAGTAAATGTGTTCTTAACCCAGGGGTAGGGCATGTCTACAGGTCTGTAGCTCTCAGCAGGTTAAGGGGTAAGGATTTCTTCTGTAGCACTGAGTTATTCACAATTTCCCCCATAAATAAAAACAAAGGACACAGGGCTGGGCTAATGATTTCGTGGTTTTTACAGCCCATGTCAACAAGTTTAATATCTGGAAAAAAAAAAAAAGGAGAATCTGATACTATTTAAATAGTTTAACGATACCCTGGTGTTTAGTGGACTGTGCTATTTATTCATTTATTACTTTTGCAATAATTTGTGTGAATCCTAGCTCACTTAAAAAATACATTTGTTTATTTGACCCTGCCAAATTTTAGCTGCTGCTTGTGGGATCTAGCTCCCCGACCAGGGATCAGACCTGGGCCCCTTTTATGGAGAGTGTGGATTTCTCGACATTGGACCAGCAGGGGGGTCCCGGGACTGTGCTGTTTGCTGCTCAGCAGCGCCCCCAGGAGCCAGGACAGATGTGTCTGGGACGCAGGTGCGAAGGGCCTCACCTGCGACCCCTTCCCCGTGCGTCTCCTGGGCCGTCTCTCACTCCAGCTACACCAACACACCTTTATCACAGTCCTAACACCTACCAGGCAATTTTCTGTCTTAAAAAAAGTGGATAGAAGATGCTGGCTTTGGGGCGTGCGCTCAGGGGGAGAGTCTGAGCCCTGGAGCCTTGAGGGCGGCTCCGGCCTGGGCCAGCCCCAGCCACCCCCCACCCCCTGCCACTGCACCACGGCTTCCGCCTGCCTGTTTGTTCCTTTCTTTCTGTCTCTCCTGGGTTTAACTTTCTCTAGCTGACAAGTATCTGCTTAATGCTGGAAAAAAAACTCTTCAAAGTAAATGCAGCTTCTCTTTGTACCAGAAGTAAAACCTCATTGTGTTCCTAGCAGCTTTTCAAGTCCAGAGCTATGTGCAAGTGCAAAATACAGTTTTAAAACATGCAGTGGTGTGTGTGTGTGCCTGCATGTGTATTTTCTAGAAACTCTGATGCTGTGAAAAACATCAGCCTTCCTAGACATGTTTCATATTTTCTTTCAGTAAACTCTGAACTTTGTTCTTGGGATGAGTCGGGCTTGTGATTGCTAGAAAGCATAAATTTGCCCAAATATCATACAACTTCCTTTGTGACATAATTCTGTGCCAAAATAAGACTTTTATTCATCTTTTCCTAAAATGTGAGGTTTATCTGGACTTTTTTAAAATTAAAAAATTGAAAGTGGTAGGAGTGAGGACCAGAACAAGACTTGTGGACCCAAAGGCAGAGAATATTTCAGTTGGCCCCTCGCACCCATGCTATTCAAATGTGTGCCAGACACATTTGTCTAAAGAAAATCTATAATGTTTTGGCTTTTCACATGATCAGTTCAGTTGCTCAGCTGTGTCCAACCCCATGGACTGCAGCACGCCAGGCCTCCCTGTCCATCACCAACTCCCAGAGTTTACTCAAACTCACGTCCATCGAATCGGTGATGCCATCCAACCATCTCATCCTCTGTCGTCCCCTTCTCTTTCCACCTTCAATCTTTCCCAGCATCAGGGTCTTTTCCAATGAGTCAGCTCCTTGCATCAGGTGGCCAAAGTATTGGAGTTTCAGCTTCAGCATCAGTCCTTCCAATGAATATTCAGGACTGATTTCCTTTAGGATGAATGGGTTGGATCTCCTTGCATGCAGTTCTAGGGACTCTCAAGAGTCTTCTCCAACACCACAGTTCAAAGCATCAGTTCTTCAGCGCTCAGCCTTCTTTATAGTCCAACTTCCACATCCATACATGACTACTGGAAAAACTATAGCTTTGACTAGACAGACTTTTGTTGGCAAAGTAATGTCTCTGCTTTTTAATATGCTGTCTAGGTTTCTTCCAAGGAGCAGCTTTATTCTTTTAATTTCTTTAATTTTTCTTTTATTTAATTTATTTAATTTTAATTTCTTTAAATGTCTTTTAATTTCATGGCTGCAGTCAGTATTTGCAGTGATTTTGGAGCCCCCCCAAAATAAAGTCTCTCACTGTTTCCATTTCTTCCCCATCTATTTGTCATGAAGAGATGGGACCAGATGCCATGATCTTTGTTTTCTGAATGTTGAGTTTTAAGCCAACTTTTTCACTCTCCTCTTTCACTTTCAAGAGGCTCTTTATTTATTTATTTTTTTTCATTTATTTTTATTAGTTGGAGGCTAATTACTTTACAATATTGTAGTGGTTTTTGTCATACATTGACATGAATCAGCCATGGGTTTACATGTATTCCCCTCAAGAGGCTCTTTAGTTCTTCTTTGTTTTCTGCCTTAAGGGTGGTGTCATCTGCATATCTGAGGTTATTGATATTTCTCTCTGCAATCTTGATTCCAGCTTGTGCTTCATCCAGCCCAGCATTTTGCATGATGTACTCTGCATAAGAGTTAAATAAGCAGGGTGACATATACAGCCTTGAGGTACTCCTTTCCCGATTTGGGCTTCCCTGGTGACTCAGCTGGTGAAGAAGCCGCCTGCAATGCAGGAGGCCTGGGTTCGATCCCTGGGCTGGGAAGGTCCCCTGGAGAAGGGAGCAGCTACTCACTCCAGTATTCTTTCCTGGAGAATTCCATGGACTGTATAGTCCACTCGGTCACAAAGAGTCGGACACGACTGGCCGACTTTCACTTTCACATGATAAGTCACTATTTAAAAAACTTTTCTCTTCAGCATTTGAACTGCTTTAAAACACTGCGTTGACTTTGGAAGCACCTTTCGCACCTATCACCAATTCAGGGCGCCGGGGGTGACTTTACCCGCGTGTTCAAGTGTGCAAGGGCTGCGCAGCGCGCGCCCAGGAGGTCAGCTTCTGTTTGCACATCTCCAGCTGCAGTGTCTGCCACTCAGAGAGACTCTCAGGGACAGGCCGCCGGCAGGGTATCTGGCGCGCGGTGACGGAGCTGAGGACCGGAAACCACTGGGGGCCCCCGCCACTCTCCGCGAGGCCCCGCCCCGCCCCGCGGCCCCGCCCCGCCCCGCCGCGCGGCCTCGGGGCGGGCCCTCGGTCTGCGGCCAATGAGCACCGGCGGGCCAGGAGCGCGGCGGCTTGTTGCCTCGGCGACCGGCGCGCGGCCCCGCCCCCGCCGAGCCTCGGGGTCTGGTTCGGACTCCAGCGCCAGTGGGTCCGGTGCAGTGGACGCACGATGCCCAAGTGGGGCGCGCGGCGGAGGCCCGGCCTCCTGCTCGGCGCGCTTCTGCTGATCGTGTGCCTCCCGGTGCTCCGCAGGTGAGCTGACGCCGCGTCCCGCACACCTGCGCCCGCGCCCGGAGCCGGCCCGGAGCTCCTGAGGGCAGCCCCCACGGGGCGAACCCCCCGGCCCCGTCCGACCGGAGCGCCGGCGCCGGGTCGCTCTGCGCCCCCGGCGCCCAGGCACTGCACGCCCGGCCCCGGCGTCTGCGCCCAGCCGGGGCTCCCCACCCTCCTGCGCAGGGGGTCCGCATAGAACTGGCCATCAGACAGGGGCCCAGCGTGCGCGCCCCGAGTCCTCCTGCCGAGCCCCAGGCCCACTGCTTTTCTCCGAGGTCCCCACATTTCCTGCCAAGCCTGCTGCGAGGTTTCTCTGTTCGGCTGAGGTCAGAGCTCCAGCTCCGTATTGTCCACTTGCCTGGCCCAGCGCGGTCCCCAGGTCTCTGTCCCGCGGGTCCTCCAAGCTCCTTAGTCTGGGTGTGGTTGCCCCGTTCTCAGGATGCGTCTTCCCCTCACCCACCACCAGCCCAACAGCTCACCCCTTGCCACTCCCCATTCCCTTATAACATGTTATCTGGGGGTACGTTTGAGGATAGAATGCTTTACCCACCACCTATGCGTGTGCCTGAGCCTAGACTTTTCCTACCGACTCTGTTTATAGGATTTTACAGCTGTGACCCTATCTCTCAGGTCAACGCCTGGAGCTTTCCATATTCAAAATGTCCAGTGTTTCGGGAAGGCAGGCAGGGACGCTGGTGTTGAAGGTGAAGGCTGAGCCAGTGGACCTGCTGCAGGCACGCTGCCCTCAGCTTTATCTGTTGCTTCTTTCTGTGTCCTTGTCACTCCTCTGGAAGACGGCGATGTTTGGGAGGGAGCAAACTCTTTCCCTTTGCACCTTTCCAAGTCTGAGGTGTCACCTTTGTTTCGGAGGTGACGAGGGTGTCAGCATTGTTTGGGAGAAGGAAATGTTTTTCTGGGGCTTGGAAAACTTCAGGGTGTCCTGTTTCCCCAGCTGCTCCCAAGACTTTTCCATCCTGTCTGTGATCTCTCCCCTTCCTCTTTGTGGACTGGTCCTAGCCCTTGGAGGCACAGGGCTGACGCAAACCCCAGAGTGATCCCTCCAGGCAGAGGTGGCAGGAGCCTCTGGCATACACCCATGTATCCAGGAGACCACACCCCAGGGAGAAAGGCCTGCCGGCAGGAGGGGCACGTGCTTGGATGCTGGAGGTCAGAGAGGCAGCAGCCCTTTCGGGGAACCCAGACAGGTCATGGGGAGGGAGGTGGTGGCTGCAAGGGGCTCAGGATGGGCCAGGCAGGTACCCTGACAGTCTCCAGGAGGAGGCGCAAGAAGGGGGCGGGTGCTTGTTGGGGTCTGGAGGGAGAGGAGGTAAAGAAACTGGGCTCTCGCAGGTGAGGGAACAGTGTGTTCATCTGCCGGCAGGAAGAGTTGGGTCCGTGGAGCAGCCTAGACAAAGGGCAGCAGCTCCTGCCCTGGCAGCGGTGTGGCACGTTCAGCGTTTAGGAAGGACACGGCGTTCCTGCTGCGCCTTCTTTCTCAGCAGGCGAGCCAGAGGCCGGAGAAGCTCGGGCTGGGTCAGGGCTGCCTCTGAAGTCCTCCGGAATACTTGTCTCCTTGCGTCTTTCGGGCTGCGTCTCACAGGTGCCTTCCGCCCAGGTCCCTCTGTCCCACTTGGGCCGGACACCGAGACCTGAGTCTGGAGGCCAGAGCCAGCTCCCTCCCCTGCCTGACGCCTCTGGCCAGGTCATCCACCGACTGGGGCCTCTCCCAGCTGTTGGGAACGTGGACGCGGTCCCCAGATTAGAGGTCACGCGGGGATGGGCCGCAGAGCCGGGAGCCCCAGGTCAGGGGCGGGCGTGTGGGCGGGGGAGGTTGCTTGGCTGCAGCCTTTTTTTGTGTGTGTGAACTTTTACCTGGATTGGTTTGTGGTCAGTCACTGCTGTTTGCTGACATCATATCCAGGAGAAGACTTTTGAGCAAGATTTCAGCCTTTGGTTTTTTAGCTTGAGCATTGGTCTTAAAAAAATCACCTTGATGGCGGTATAATCGTCGTGTAATCAGTCGCACGTGTAGCAGGTGTGTCTGCTGAGTTCTGACACATGCACCATCTGTGGAGCGACCACCGCAGCTGCGACAGAGCGGGTGTCCACCAGCCCCGGAAGCTCGCTGGTGCCCCTGGGTCCCATGCTTGCATCTCCCCAAGAACACTCATATGCTGCGTTTGGCCTCAGACACTACCTGGCATCCTCTCAAGCCTACAGAGGTGTAGCCCTCTGCCTTGGCTGACTTTCTTCACTTGGCGTGTTTCTTGGGGTCCAGGGTGTGTGTGCTGGGCGAACCTCAGCTCCGAACCTCCCCTTCTCCACAAGCACAAGAATGCCTGCCTGCTGTGACAAGGGCGTGGTTCCCGTTCAGGACCTTCCCTCAGTGTCTGCGCCTCACTGAGCAACCCCCAGGGCGCTCTGCGTCTCTCTAAGCTAGAGGTCAGCTGCAGAGTCGGCAGGGCCAGAGCCGAGGCGGGCCGCCTGCATCGCCTCCCGAGGGGGGTCGTCTTTGCTGCTCCCGCCCTGCCAGGGTCTGGGTTCCAGAAGGTCGCTCCTCCCCTGGGAGGGAGAGGAGAAGGGCCTCTCAGGCGCCCCGGGGCCGCGGGTCGCAGCCTCGGAACCAGGTCGCTCTCTTTGGCCCCCCCCTCTGAGGGCGCTGAGTGCCGGGCCATGTCCTTCCAGGCATCTGTGAGGTCACAGGTTTTATGGGCTTCGGCTGTTGCGGACGCTGCTCTCCGTGCGGCCCAAGTCGTCGCTGCTGGAACGCTCCAGCTCTCACGTTCTGGCAGCAAAGCTCTCAGCCCGTGGGAGCGTCACTCCTGACACACCTGGGGCAGGTGTCTGGGACCCTGTGCCAGAGGAGAGGGTGGGTGCTGAGGGTCTGGGACTGGGGGACCGGGATCTCAGCAAGTGCGTGGGCAATGAGGATCTGTGATCAGGGGACTGGGGTCTCAGCAAGTGCGTGGATGCTGAGGGTCTGTGATCAGGTGACCAGGGTGCCCCGGAGACCAGCCCTGAGGCCTCCGGAGCCTCGGCCCCCCAAATATCAGGACTCCGGCCAAGGAGTCCTCTCCTCTTGGAAGGAGCCGGGGAAATAAACATGCTTCATTTCCATGATGCGACTCCAGTCCTCTCGTGTCACCTGGAATGCTCTTCTGGTGAAGCGGCAGGAGACGCCAGGGCTCAGAGACCCTCTCAGGACGCGTGGGGTCTGAGGGCACCAGGCCCCTGTCTAGCACCCAGCGGCAGGGGCTTGCTGCCTGCTCGGCATTTACTTTTCTGTTTGCTTAAATCGATTTGCCTGGCTGTCAGAGGCTGTGTTGAGAGTCCCCCTCGTGTGGTGCCTCTCCTGGACGAAAGGGCAGTGGATTCTTAGAGGCTCATGGTAAGAAAGCAGGTGCGTCTCAATGGGGGTGTGCAGGAGACCCTGCCCCTGCTCCCGCCCCCGCCTCCCACGATGGATGGCGGGGCTGTTCCTTTCAAGAGCACCTTTGCGTTGTTCTTACAAAGGTTATTTTGTGACTAGGTCATCTAGGAAGAAGGATGAACCCTTCAAATAAAGGGGAAAATGAGGTCCCTGGGTTCCCATCTCCCTGCCCGAAGGGGGCCCCCACAATGGAGATGCTCAGGGGTGTCCCGTGCGTACGAAGACGGCTGTAGGCGGCACTCTATCTGCCCAGTTACGAAGACGGCTGTAGGCGGCACTCTATCTGCCCAGTTATTCAAACTGCTCCCTCCTGAAAGACATCCATGGCTGCAAACCAGGCTGCAGTGAATGTCTGTGGGCGATATTTCTGAACTAGAATTTCTGACTGTATGAGGCGCTCATTTTAAGTCTTGATCGACATTTACATTAAGTAAAGAGCAGATTCTCCTTCTGTTGGGTCAGCCTGAGCTCTGTGGTCTGAGGGTGAGATCTGTGTGTCCAGTCTGTGTCCTCTAAGAGCTAACCCCGCTCTCGTCTGTCTCAGGAGGTAAGTCCCATGGGGTGGACTTTGAAAGCAGTTTATTTAGGTTGCACTTGTTTGGTCCAATCCTTTTCTTCTGATTCCTCGAGTCTCCGAGATCAGAGTCTTGTCACGGGGGTGCCTGGAGGTTTGCTCAGAGACCTTTCCCTTCTGGGCACTTCCTCTGTCGCTGCTGCCGGTGGGGACGTTCCCCGAAGTGAGAGCATGGGGTCCCCGACGTCCGGTCACTCTGTGCTGTTCATGTGTGGTGGAATCCGAATGAGAGGTGTCACCGCGCAACGGGGTCTTGGGGTCTCCTTGAGTAGATATTGTTCACGCATGAATTCCTCTGGGCTTTAGACAGGGCTGCCAGCCTGGCCTGCGGGGCCAGAACTCCCCCGCTCACCAGGTCCATCCCACGGGGATGGGCAGGGGTGCCAGGAGCGGTGGGCACAGGCCTGCAGATGCTGCCCGATGGATGGAAGGCCAGCCCTCTAGAAACAGTTAACACCTCTCCAGCAAAGCAGGAGCCATGGCCTGGTGCACACGGCCAAGGAGTGTGGCCACGAAGTCGGGCAGACCCGGGCAGAGCTGCAGCTCTCGGGGCTCGTGGGCTGATGCAAGAGGCACTCTTCTGGGGCGGGGGCGGTGTCAGAGGTGCTGGCCAGGAATGGGGAGGGGGTGGATCCTTCCCCAGGCCCTCAGCCACCGCTGACTGAGGGCGGCATGCACACAGCTGAAGGCTGGTGAGACCCCAAGCCCCCAGGTGGGCAGTTCCGGAGACGGGGTGGCTGATGAAGCTGGGCCTCAGGAGTGTGTGGCCACATCCGTCTTCAGAGTGATGAGGAGAAGCGTGTATTTCAGTCCCAAGTATGAGGGTGTCTTCATCGTGTCCTCCTGGGTGACAGCCTCAGGCACAGCCACATGGATGGGCGGTGTGTTTTCACGGTCAGCATCTTTAGAGCGAAGCCCTGGACGCAGACTCAGCAGAACCTCACCGAGTGGGCAGCAGTGTGCGTTATGTGCAGA